TTTCCAGCAACTTTCCCTTTGCTCCTGCATCATCAATGTTTTTCTCTCTCCAAAATTGTTCTTGTTGACATACAAACATGCTATTATGTCTTCCACCTTGATCTCACTCCTCCCAACTACCACTGCATTTCTCTGCTTCCCTTCTCAAAGATAAAAAAAAAAAAAAAAAGCAAAAACAAAAGTGCTTGAAAGAATTGTCTGTGATGGTGGTTTCCAATTCCTCTCTCTCTTCTCTTGAACCCACATGCACTTAGGCTTTTTTCCCTCCCTTCCACCAAAACTTCCCTTCATCAAGGTCACCAATGGCCTTCATGTTGCTAAATCCAATAATCAGTTTTCATACCTTACTGACCCCCATCAGTAGCCACATTCTCTCCTCGACACCTCCAGGACAACATAGTCTCCTGTATGTCACCATCTCACTAGCTGCTCCCCTCCAGTCTCCTTTGCTGATTATTCCTCCACTTCCCAAAAATAAAAAACTAGGGCTCAGTCATGTCCACACCTTCTCTTCTCTGTCTATACCCTCTCCCTTGAGGATCTCTTCCAGTCTCGATACTTTAAACACTTGTCCACCTATATTCTAAAGAGCCTCAAATCTATACCTGCAGCCCAACTTTTCCTCTACACTCCAAATCCATATAGTCAACTCCCTTCTCAACATGTCTACTCACATGTCTAATAAGTTTCTCAAATTTAACATTTCCAAAACAGAACTCTTGGTCTTCCCTCACAATTCTTTTCCTCACACTGGCTTCCCAAACTCAGTTAAATGGCAACTCCATCCTTATTGCTCAGGCTAAAAATCTTGAGTCATCCTTGATTCTCTATCTTATCCATCAACAAATCTTGGCAACTACACTGTCAATGTATATCCAGAATCGCACTATTACACAACCTTCACTGTACCACCATGATCCAAGCAGCCATCACCTCTTGCCTGGATAGTCTAACTGACTCCTAATGGGTTTCAGGCCCCTGCTCTTGCTTCCCTACCATCCATTCTCAACACAGTGGCCAGAATAACCTCGTGAAAACCTAAGTCGTGTTACTCCTATGCCTTTCCAATGTCTTCCCACCTCATTCAGAATAAAATTTAAAGTCATTGCTATGATTTACAAAGCCCTATACAATTGAACACCCAGTTATGTCCCTGAACTCATCATCCATACTTCTCTCTCTCTCTTTCTCTCTCAGTTCCAGCTACACTGACCTCTTGGCTATTCCTCAAGGAATCAGGTACCCTCTAACCTCAGGGACTTTGTACCTGCTCTTCTCTTTACCTAGAATGCCTTTCCAGATATGCATATGGATCAACCCCTTGCCTCCTTCAGATTCTGCTAAAATGCTACTCTGTCAGTGAGGACTTCCCTGGCCATTTCCTATTCACTTCCCCTGCTTTATTTTCCTCCTTGGTACTCATCACTACCTAAACTAAAATACTACGTATTTTACCCAAGTTACCTTGTTTACTGTCTCTCTCTCCTCCACTATAAGGTCAGTGATGGCCATGACTTTTGTCTGTTTTATTCCCTGCTATATCCCCAGTGCTAAAACAGTGCCTGGAACGTAGTTGGAATACAACCGCCGCACAGTAGATGCCCAATAAATAGTACTGTTTTTCTTCTCTCTCTTCCTGTTAAGTCACTACTGATAAGATTTGAAAGCGTATCACAGAAATGCAATACCACTACCAGAAAAAAATTTTCAAGCCTTCTGCCTTACTAAAAGCAGGTTAATAGTATCATCTTCACATATGATAGCCAGAAATTTTCTAAAACCTGAACATATTCATTCATTACATGTGACTAAAACAATCAATTCCAGAAGGGATGCCTTTTTCCCAAAATATAAATATTTACCTTAGTAAAATCATTCTTTGAAGTTTCTAAACAATCCTGAGAGGACACTCTTTTCCTCTGTTCTGGGGCTGGAAGCTTCACCTTGGATGGAGACACTAAAACAGCACCACCTAGAAAAATGCAAAAGATGACAGTGAGGTTCTTTTGTTGTTGTTTTTGTTTTTTTGTTTTTTTGTTTTTTTTTTAAGAGACAGGGTCTCACTGTGTCACCCAGGCTGAAGTATAGTGACTCTAATCACAGCTTCCTGTAGCCTTGAATTCCTGGGATCAAAGGATCCTCCTGCCTTAGTCTGCCAAGTAGCTGGGACTACAGGCACAAGCCACCATGCCTGGCTAATTTTTTTTATTTTTTGTAGAGATAGGATTTTGCTACGCTGCCCAGGTTGGTCTCAAACTCCTGGACTCAAGTGATCCTCCTGCCTCAGCCTCCCAAAGCACTGGGATTACAGGCATAAACCACTATGCCAGACCATACCAGTTTCAATTAAACTAAATTATCATGTAGAAAAAGCAGGTTAAATAAGAACTGCACAGTGTTTGCCTATTACCAACAGCTGGAGTAGTAAGATCATGATGAGTCCTCTGGATTCCACCAAGTTCTCTCAGCTTTGGAGTAGGAAGCCTGCCTCCTTTTCCTGAGGAAACAGAAGAAGAATCCGACCTACGAATTGAAACAACCTATTATGAAGCATTTCTTCCAGAAAATGTGATCAAAAATATTTTGCCATCACTGTGCAATAATAAAGTATAAAACTTATAAGGATTTTGTTTCTGAAAAAACAACAACCAAATCCACATGTAGTTAACAGTGACTGAATACTAGAAAAGGAGGAAGATCACTGCAAGTCAGCAACACCACAGCAGAGAATTCTGCCAGTAACTCATGGCCCAAGTTCAGTATTAGCTGTAACACTGATGGATGAATAAGAAATTTGGTCTGTAGACCAAAAGCATCACTATCAATGGTAGGGAAGAACCATTCCCCAAAGTAGTTCGCACACATAGAACGCAAATTAGCTATTTTCAGAAATCACTTTTTAAAAAAATATTACAAAACATTCTTTCCTTTCTTTTTTGGTAGAATCATCTGGTATTAAAGAACACCAGGTTTTTTTTCATTAAACACAAAGAAAGTCATTCTTCCAGACACATTTGCAAATCTGGAAAATCATAATTACAGAACATAAATAAAAATAACCCTAACTACTTCCAAAGTACCCCAGTCAGTGTTGTAGCGTTCAATTACCAATTAGTGATGACTCAAATACCTGAGTGAATCAAATTATAAACCATATAGCAGTGCCTACTTTGTGGCACTGAAATAAAATCTGTTCTTTATTAGTCATAAAAGCAAAAGTGTAAACCACTATACTTAGAGACAAAACAAAATACATATTAACCATGTACAATAGTGTTTCTCTATACTGAGTAATTTAAAACTCTCACCCTTCTATCTTGTCTGCCTTAGATTGCTCATGTACGTCCAACTTCTCGAGCTCTCCTATATATGTCTGCTTGTCCATTTTCCCATCCTCCTCCTTCTCTTCCTTTCTGGGCTGTTTCTGTAAGTCTTCACTGGTGTTCTCTGCATCCCAGGCCAGGCGCCTTCTAACAGGTACAGTGGGAGCACCGGACACACCTAATTTCTCCTCCGTGGTTTTCTGGTGCTCCTCTTCCAAGGTATGTCTTTTTTCTTCTAGTTTCGTAGAAGGAAATTTCTGCAAAGTCTTATGGCTTGTAGTATCTCTGCATAACAAAGTAAGTTTTATTTTAAATTTGAGTAGTTTGCATTTTCTAGTTTATACTAATTGTAGTAAGTCCATCATTTCCTTCCACGGTTCATAACTACATGTATTTTCCACAGATACTGCCTTGCCCAGGTAATGAAGAAAGAAATCAATTGCGAGTTCATTTTATAATATAACAAATGAAAGTTACAATCTGAAGTTTCTATTAAAATATCCCAAAATATAATTGATTTATCTTCTCTTACTCCTCCCTTCACACATACGTGCCTGTACCTTTGCTGATAAAAGTCATACTTAGCCCGTAAACTGGCACTTAGTCACAAAAACTAGGACCCAACTTGTTCAGTTACTCAATTAAGGTTTGTGCAAAAACTCAAGTGTATTTGTGATCAAAGAAACTAATTCAAATTTGATACTTTAGATTCATCTTTTCAACACATTATTAAAGAAAAGATTTGTAATGAACTTTTTAAATCAGATGTCACATAATTAGAATTTATACATTAATTTGGTATGCATGACTATATTAATATACTGTCACAACTACACACTATTTGCTACAAATAAATGTACTATTTCTCTTACAAATAGTTAAATCACTTTAAAGCTCAAGAGGGGCCAAGCTCTGTATCAGTCATAAAATCCATTAATAAATGATAATGGGTATATGCTAATAGCTTACAGTCTCTGAGTTTTTATTATTGTTGTTGCTTTAACTTTTTAAAATCCTTTTATATCTACTACATAATCATCTCCACTCTGCTATAGGTAACAAAGAATATTATAAAATCCAGCCTTCTAGATTTACATTATGTATTATTTATACACAAATATGTAAAGTGCATATTGCTTTATTTTTCACAGAGAATAAACTACAAATAATGAAATAAATGGCTAGCACAGCTCCATTTGACTAGAAGGCAAATTTTGGGTAGTCAGGTCATTTTCCTATGTTATTCTATGATCTACATAAGCTAAAACATACTTTTTTTTTTTTTTTACAAACATCCACAAAGAATATCTCACCCAGCAAGATCTAATGCTCTGATATTGCTACTAATGGTTCTTTCTGAGCTTGTTGTCGAGGAGACATCCCAACAGCAGTTGTTATCAGACAGAATCTGATTCAGATGGTCCCGAGAAAAATGTGTTCCCTGAACTCGTTTCCTATAAAACTCAGCCTTCTCTCTCAGTTCTTTAACCTATGCAGGAGAATTCAAACATATATTTGTAAATGCTCCTTTACAATAAATATCACCAAGCAGCATATCAAAAACATTGCACAAATATAGACAGAGACCAAGGAAAAAGGAAGACAAAAATAGCCACATATGGTCATCAGACTAAGTGCACTTAAGCAGAAATTAAAACAATCAAGCTAAAGCATGATGCAGTTATTTTATTTCAGACCAGCAAAGCAGGGAAAAATTCATAGCAGCTAAGAAAAATAATGACACCTATTTTTTACTCGAAATAAAATTACAAAAGTACTCTATGCATTATTACAGTTTTTAAAAACTCAAAAGCAACCAACCTCTGCATACCACATGGCATTTAGAGAACCCTAGGGGAGGAATACAGAAACACACTTAATGACAGGTTAATGCTATAAATGAATATTAATGGAAATCAATGAAATATTTCATTATTCCCCCTTCTAAATATATACCAAACTTGTCAATCAATATTTCTTAGTACTTTTTAGTAGTATTTAATTCAGTAACCAAGATATCTTAACATTACCTTGAAAAGCAGCCACATTCTTGCATGACTGGGATACTGTCCATGATGTGACACCTAATTACTATTTCTAATTCCTCACCTCTGGAAGGGTACTTACATTATTTCCCAGCTCTATATACAGCTGCTACTACTATAGAAGCCCCCACAAAGGGAGTTATGAGGCTTCCCTCTCCAAATTCCTCAACATTCCCTTGGAATCAACAAAACCTCAACTTTTAAAAAATGTAATAAAAATATAATTAAAGAAAGTACTCCCACAAAATAATTGAAATATCTTCAACAAAGTGACAGGATACAAAAAATGTTCTAATCGACTATGAGGTGATTTGAATTCCTTAGTATGCAAATAACATATTTTCATATGAAAAGGAGTCTTTATACGCATTTGAAACCCTTTCATTTTATACCTCATACTGCCACCTGCTGGCTTCTCTAAATACAATTCCACAAATGTAAAAAAAAAAAAATTAAGTTGAAGCTTTTCCCTTAAAATTCAGTTTAAAATCTTTATTCTAGAAAAACTATAATTTTTTATCACAAAGACAGAATATCAACATTAAAAGGATATCAGGATACTGTCTGCTGGAAGTGTTTTCCCTTCACTTAAAGGCAAAAAAAAGCAAATAATGAAAGTTGGCAATACAAAAGTAACTGGAGAGACATATTCTTCAGCTCCTTAACGGGACGCTAGTTTGAATGCAAAGAGATGAAAGTGTTATTAATACATCTCTAGGGAATTAGCCAAAGCAAAAGATAGCACTTATGGCATAAGAAACCATATAATCCAGCAGAGTTCTATGGCTCCAATGAACCAAACCTGAAAAAAATTCCTAAAGGATAATTCAAAATATTGTTTTCTTCACTGCAGAAAAAAAAAAAAAATTAAGCTATTCGTTTATCATTTATATCAACTCCTATAACTTTAAATAAAATTGCTAGCAGTGGTTTTTGCATTTAACAGGTAGAACTGAGACACATGACTTAGGTTTATTGAACTTCTAACCAGGGTATTGTGAAGGCACAAACACCTTGTTATAAAGTGTCTTAAATTTTATTTCTAATGAGTGCCCCCATGTTTCAAATGTTTCATGGCCACTCCATCACCTAGATGATAAAATCTGCATGCCTTACCATCACTTCCTCCTCTGTGTTCTCAAAGTCCTTTGTGCACATCCCCATTAATACTTATTTTGTTCTCCTGGAATTAATTGCTCACATCCTCCTCCTCAAGCTATGAATTCCTGAGGTGAGGCAAAATACGGCACTTAAGCATTGAGTATACAACCTATCCCGAGTATGGACTAAGTGGTAGGCCTGAGCTAGATATGGCAGCAAAGATAAGCAAGAAACTCCCTGCACTCAATGAGCTCAGTCTGATAGAGGAGGCTGACCCGCATACAAATTATTGTAATATTGGTGTGGTCTATGCCATAATAAACAAATGAAAAATAAGTTGAAGCAGTTCAAAAGGGGGTCCTATCAAGCCTGCACTACGTGTTAGGTAGAGTGGGAAGGAGTAGCATAGGAGGCTGCATTCTACCCATGTTTGATGAATGAGAGAATGGACCAATATCTCCTCCATGTACACAGTTATCTAGTTTTATTTAATATCAATTTTATTTAGAAAGGAGGGTAAGGAGATACTTCACAGAAATTCTGTAAATTTTAGTTTATTCAGTTATATTTGTTAATGACATTTAAAACTGAATGCATTAAATTTACTTTATCAGCAATCTTTGTTAATAATCTTAGTGCTAATGTTGTATCTTACAAATATATAATTTTAAATTTCGATAATCCTAAACTAAGATGAAAAATTAGGAGGCTGACATTTCCCAAAGTAATATGTTCTACTAGAAAGAGAAAAAAATCAGTGGTGTGAACTCAATATTAACAACAATTCCTACAGCCAATAACCAGAGCCACTGAAAAGGACAAGAATAAACCATTCCCAACTCAAACAACACACACAGACTTTTCTGGGCCAAGTAATGCCATCAGATTATATGATACAAACACTGTAAGTAGAATGTCTTCATTTCCGAATTTCTTTTCCCAAATTAAGAATTCAACTAAATTGTTTAAAACTTACACAAAAAAAATCAAACTCAGAAAACTGGAGATAAAAGTAAAAACTCTTTTTTACCTAAAAATCATCCCCCTAATATGAGGAGTCACTTTATACCCAGTCTTTACAATGTCTGTCAAATTACACGATATCTCTCAAATGTGGGACTTTATCTTGAAACATAGTCCTATTTTTGGAAGACACTGGAATGAAATTACCTCAACCAATGCAGTTGGTTGAGGTAAGATGACCTAACAAAGATTACCTAACAAACAAGGAAAAAAAATTTAACACAGATTCAGTAGTTATTCTGAGGATGGGATCTAAAAATTGCAATTGCTAACTATTATTTTAAAAAGTCCTTTAAGCAAGCACTTTAAAAAGCAATAAAGCAACAGTGTAAGTGTTTACATAATGGAGATGACAAATATACAACCACTGGACAAATAAAACCACCCTCATGTTATGATAGGTATTTGGGACTTAGGATAAAATACCCAAGAGATTCAAAAAGTACAGTATCTCAAACAACATAGAAAGAAATGAACATGATATGTGGACTAGAAAACTGTAATGTGACTCAAAAAGAGAGTTAACCTTCTAATCACAAAGTCAGTGATGTCAAAGTGCATTTGAAGAATGTGAATATACTCCTTCAAGAAATGTTAGCAGTAGGAAAATGAAGGAGTTACTGTACCTTACATTTAGGTACCTCATGATCAGCCACATATAGTAAACGCCTTCAAGGAGATTTAAGTAAAATATGGCCCATATTAAATATCTATGATCTGGTCAACTAAAACTGCTATCATCAGTGATCACTGACTTCTTAGCTAGACATTCTTATTCTAACTCCAATTTACTTTTTGAATGATTTTGCCCAAAGTAGTTAAGGCAAACTATCAATATACCACTAATTTGAATATTTACCACCACCAATATAGCAATTAAGAAACAAAAAAAGTCATGTTACCAAGATACCATAACAGGAAACCTTGAAAAAACAGATCTCAAATTAGCAACATTTTCTTCCATCAAGGCAAGATAAGGAATTTCACCTTACCATGACTTCAGATTTAACAATCCTCTCAATCCATTAAATGTTTAGATCTGAGGCCTAAACACATCTTAAAGAAGTCTCAGAGAAGAAGAGATAGTCTTTCCAAAACAGTTTCTCCTGACCTTGACGTAGTGAAGTTGCCTACATGCAACAGGCCAGCTGCTGGTGCCCATTTACTGGCCATGCTCCGCGTCCTGCCTCTGCCCTGGTGTTTCCTCACTTCCCATCCAACTCCGCAGAGAGGGAGCGCCTCAATAAGATCTGGCATAACCGTAAACTGCTCAAGAGTGTAGGGGATTTAAGTCCTTTCTTCCATCATGGCTGCTTTTGATGCTCACAGTTTTAACTTGATTTCACCAGGGTGAATATACAAATGTGGCCCCAGATAATACCTGGGATAGCTTCAAGCTTTGTCTTTGATGCTGCCTGTTTGAGCCACAATCAAACAGAAATAGAAAGCACCAAGAGCAGCCATGATAGAAGGAATCAAGTAACCTGAAACAACAGGCGGAGCACAGCATCGCCAGGACATACGTTCGGGAGCTGCCAGCTCCAAGAACCAGCGCCTCAAAGCACTAGCACTTTCCCCGAGGCTGATTACATGTAATCGTCAGACATGGTTTTAAGTGCTGAGCTAAATAAAAGATTCATTCCCCGTCCAGATTATCCCTGTTTACAATGATGGGGAAGTGGGATGTTTACCAATGTCTAATTTAAACAGAAATGTTTTAATTTAGCTCGTTCTCACAGAAAAGGCAAGAAACTATCAAAATATGGTTTAAAAGTTGCTAATTATACAATAAAACCAAAAATATTCCATTGTTTGTCCTTTGACTATAAGAAGCTAAGACTAAAGTAGCACTTCTCAGCTCTCGGATTAATGACCCTTTTCCTCAAACCTATCTTTAGATCCTCAGAGCTTCCTCCATATGTCAGGGTACCCCAACACTGTAGCTGAAACCTCTAACAGCACAGGTGTACCGTTCTTTTGCTTACAGACTGCAAGAGTATGCACTGACAGCAGATGCCACTATCAGACAAGTTATCTAATCTTGAAAACAGTCATGAGAGAGGAGAGGTCTGGATGTTATAAAACAATCAAATCTATGAAGTTACAATTCTATAAATCAGGTTTATTAACACAATCAGATGTTTGATTATAAGAAATTTTTAACTTTAAAGACTTTAATAATATTAATCTCTAAGGAACCAGTAGCATAAACAATAAATACACTTATAACTTATTCCTAATATACACAACTTTAAGTTCTTGATACTTTTAGTACCATTATTGTATCATACTTCTTTAAATTGTAGTCTCTATTACTACATGAAACGCATTGTGAAATTAAATTGTTATACAGGCTGAAAGAAAATGTGGGCTTACTGAGCTTATGTACACTCACCTGATTTGGCATGTTTTCCTTCACACGTGTCCAAACTCCAGCTTTATATAAATATTGAGCTGGGCTCAGAAATTTTGCTCTATATTCAGAATTCACCTTCCTAATAGAAATGAAATGAAAGTAAATATTTCATCATGTCGATCATCTAAATACCATGATATTTTCCTATTAAAATACATACCCAAGCCTTTGATGTTTCCAAGGAGTAAGCTTCTTTTTAGGCTGGTTTGAGTCTTTTAATTCCATCTCTGCTTCTAATTTTAAGGGATCGTCTGTTTTATTACACTAAAATGGAAATAATTTAAGCTTTTTATGCTTAAAATGTACATTAAAGTGAAAACAGAGATGTTACAAAGTTAGACTCGGGTATTGTATTACATTTCTGTTTTTAGAAGCTTTAAGTATTAAAGATAACAAAAATCACAAGAAATCAACAAGTAAGTTTTGAAACTAGTATATCTGGTTAGTTTTTTTTGAAGTATAGCTCAAGGTAGACTTTCCTTTTCTGACAATAAAGATTTTAAAACCTTGGCTAGGGAAGAAAATTTTAAAATTAACAAATACACATCTAAATAAACAATGTTACTACAAGCTGAACAGTGATCTTAACATTTGCTCTTGATAGTCTAAATTTGCATTTAATTGTGTTATGGTACTTAAACATACATAAAATCCTGGTAAGTTACCACATTGCTTTACTGAATATCTTAGCAACTGTTTTTCTCCTCAAGAATGTCATAGGTACAATATATGCATTTATATATAAATGTCATTTTACTTTCAGTCATATACTTTCTATTTTTAGGACACACAAAAGTATCAGGTATCAACATTCCACGAGATTCAAAACTAGTATTTATACCCCATTTACCTACAATTTACGATGACTTGAGCCTCATGCTGCACTTAAATGGCTAAAATTTCACAGAGAAGCAGTTGTTTGTATATCCTAAGTCATGTGAATTATACTTGCTATAACGTCATGCTAAAACTTTGGTTTAAAATACAGGTGTGTATGTGTGTGTTTAATTTCCATCACCTAAAGTGTTTCTATCACTAGTGTTACCCCTGGAGCTCGCATTACTGTAAGGCCAATCATTTGATATTAGACATAATAGACATACCGACTCTATTGTTAAGGTCATCATACTGTATTATTTGTATTTATTTATTTATATATCTCTCTCCCCACTAGCCCAAGAGCTGCTTGGGGCTTACTGTGTGTGTTAGCCTTGTATTCTCAGTACCTAACCCAGGCCTGCTGCTCCTAGTAGGTGGCTCAACGGACATTTGATGAATAAATTAATGAACCAGCTAAAAAAAAAATCTCAGATGGTAGTAAGTAAAAGAAAATTTATAGAGTCTAAAATCATGGGGATTTTGTTTTGTTTAAGGTTAAGAGTTAATGAATACCTTTTTTTCAGGTGATATTGTTTCAAGATTTCCGTTTTCTCTCAAATCATTTCTTAATTTTGGTTCTTTCACTGGAGATAAACCCTTGAAATTTCTTTTGTATTCAGTTTCATGGATGATTGAGTTACCTTTGAATTGTGGAACAAATTTGCTTTTATTGTGGAAAACCTTAAAACAAAAATTATTTTAGTTTAGTTTTGTTGGTTAAATATGGAGAACTTGAGTCTTCGATTTACTTAAGAAAACTCATATATAAAGTTGAATTATAGGACACAAAAATAGCAAAATTATATGATTGCTTGTAATTCCACTTCACATGTCTAACATCCAAAGGTCAACTTTCTATATTCATTATGTTTTGAATAATAGGTACTGTAATCAAAATAACACACCAAAATAAATTATGAACCATTATTGTGTTGGAGCTTTTCTCCCTAGTGGGCCTTGTATTTCCTCCCTTCAGTTTGTTAATGGGATGAGGGTAAAATAGGTGTGGTTTCATAGTATGAACATAGACATTAGCTCTATTAGGGAAACTCTGTTGTCACTTCTACAGGTTCTTTTCTCTCCTTGACATGAATTTTCTTTCTTTCTGAAACAATAGGAAATTCTTAACATTTTAAATATCCTATATGTCCAGTTTGTTTAGTTTTCTTTCCTTTGCTTATTTTTAGCATTTTTAACGCAAGGAAAATTTCTGGCAATTACTACATTTCTATATTAAAATGTTTCCTTTTATCCTTAATATTTCAAAATATGGTTTCTATTTTATGGGACATTTCCAATGATTACAAGGAAAGCAAATGGAAAAGATTGGGAGCTCAAATAAGGTATATTATTGCTCTATAATACCAAACAGTACATCCTCATACACATCAAATCCAAACAAATAAAACCTCAAGGACTTTCCTGACAAAAACTGCTCTGACTTTTTCACATATTAATGAAAGACATCCTTTCAGAAAACAGGTGTCTGACAAAATAGAACTGAACAGCTCCTTCAGAGGTCCCAGCATAGAAAGCTGTCTCGGAGCTCTTCAATCCACAGACCCTGAAATTGATACGCTTTGAACTAACAAAGAGCATCTCCTTCCAAAAAATTTCTTTGAAATCCTAATGATAGCAATAAAACTATTTGTGAAAATATTGCTAGTGATTTATTTTACACTGTACTTTCAATCCTATAAAAATAACATTTCTATACAATGCTTTCACTGACATGTAAAAGTTGACAGTGAGGCTTTGATTTGAATCAGCTCTACCTTAAAGTCAAATACTCTCCAAAAACTCAACAATCACAATTTTCAGGTTGTAATTTTTTAGGTACACTTACTATTCAAGAAACATGTGAGCAAGCAGAAGTACTGATCCTATTTACTAGGTTAATAAAGGGTACATATCACTTTATGTTACTTCCTAAGTTCTTAAAATGTTATATAAATTTCCAGGTTATCTTAAAAATTGAATAGTAATTAAGCCTAAAGCTAGCATAATTTGTAGGATCACTGGTATTTTTATTGTAATGTAAGATGACAGATGTTATTGTCTTGCTGAATCTAATTATCCTCTCAATTCTTAGGGGTATATAAACCACACAAGTGAATGTTAAAGTACAGGAGAAAATGAATGTGAGGACGTGTGTGTGTGCATGCGTGTGTGTGTGTGTGTGTGTGTGTGTTTATAAATAAAAACACAAAGACTGAGAAAAATAAAAGACTAAGCTGTCATAGGCCTCTGCAGATATTCTAAGTGGAGGTATTTTCTATCTAGGCCTGAAAGTATTGTTAAGAACATAAATGAAGAGTTAAAATCCTAAGCACTGTCCAGAGGATGGTAGTAAAACAACAGAGTATTCATTAGCAATGGTAGCTCAATTCTAAAATTGTGCAAGAGCACAATGAAATCTAATATCACATCATTACAGCTTTTGAATTTTATAAATATAGTTAAGCTAATAATTCCTATTACTGTTCATCTGGTACAAGGACAAAATTATATATGTGTTACTTTCAACATATTTTGTATTTATTAAAATAAATACCCAAAGCAGTTATACCTTTCTTAAAAGACAGAAAACATGCATTAGTCAACTAAACACATTTTAGAATAAAACCAATTTAAATGATCTTTTTAATATATGAAAAAATCTTACAGCATGCAAAAACTTACCAGTTCCCCAAGTTTTCATTACCCTGTCTCATATTTAGTATATGTGATGGATCTGGCAACAATGATCATCAGTAGCCTAGGACAGCATAATATTACTACTATAAATTGAAAGTAATAGGATGATTTTAGCAAAACTCATTTTCAGTTTTCTAGGACTTACCTCTCTAGGCCTACTTAAGTACCTAATTTCTTTCAGCTCTTAATTCTATGTAAATCTACATACATCACTAGATCAGACGATGATACTCAGAAACATATTACATCCATTAAACTACCTGATTGGCTGCAAAAACTGGAGCAGTTTCTTTAGGGGTCTTCCAAACAAACTGCCTTTGATATTCAGAATTTCTCAAGGCATTTTGTGAAGGAACAACAGTCAATCCAGCTTTTTTACGTAGAATTCTATCCAACTGTTAGGGGAAAAAAAAAAATCCACTCAAAGCCACTACAAATTTCTATTCAAACTTTAATTGTGGTGAAAAACACATAACATGAAATCTACCCTCTCAACAAAATTTTAAGTGTACATTAAAGTATTGTTAACTATATGCACATTGCTGTACAGCAAACTTTTTTCAACTTATAATCTTCTTAAGGTGTCTATTTAAAATTCCTTTCTATCAAGGGATTATTACACATCCCAGGAAAAGATAACATCTCTCAGTCCCTTCCTATCAATCATTCATAACAAATATATTACCAAAAAATTACACCTTGCCTTATCTGCATATTCCTTCTGTGGACACCCCTTCCCCTGCCCACCAGACTCACACATCACCTTCCTTGACTCCCCTGTACTCCCTGGCTTTCTCAACAAGCTGCGGATTCTTCTCCAACACTCCGAAATGCCCTTTCAGGGTTCCAGTCAGTGGTGGACAGGATATGGGAACAAAACAGTGGAGTGGAGAAAGAAATGTAGGAGGCAGTGAAATCTGTGCACAGGTCCCTGCAGCCTCTGCTTATGTGCTCGCAGGGACCTGCTGCAGGCCAGGTGCGACATAAGAGAACAGAACTGTAAGATCTTTGAGAGCCAGCCAGAACTCTCCTTCCTTTTGCATTCTGTCAACTGAGATTCTGTTTGTTTCTTGCTGGTACACAATAAGAAATTGAAAAAGGGCTAGGCAGAAGTCAGCTCAGCATTCCTGCCAGAAGTAATGGCCTACTCCACTTCTCTCAACTTTATCTCTCCCTTAGGACTCAGATGTTGATATATGCTGAATAAAATCGAGATGCAGGGGGTCCACTCAATGAAGGGATATCTTAGTATAACCAGTACAAAACAGAGAACATTAAGGATAGAACTAATTTGCAATAACTAAAGTCAATAGCTTATCAACTATTCCGTAGATATTAGACAAGAAAACAATGGAAACATTTTAAACACAAAATGTAGTATTACTGAAATGATGATGAAACCTACACAGAATTCTATGCTTTTCAAAAGAAATATAATAAATACGCCTACCCCATTATCTACATTTTCTGAAGGAATCTTGGTAGAACGTTCCAATTCCACATTTGCATTAACCGGTGTATGGTTTGGTATTACGTCGTCATTATTTTCCACAACATCTGAAGTCCCTTCAGCTCTGGAGTCTGTAGAATGGGATCTGGTTCTTTTGGGAACCCTGGAGGCTTCTAGTGAGAGAACTCTTCCTTGGGTAACATCTTTTTGTTCTTCCTCTTGCGATTTTGGTGTTTCCCAGGCTGCAGGCTGTGGTGCTACAACAACATCTTTCTCTGAGATAGCTCCATTCCACTTAAGAGAGTTTGAAATCTGTGGGTCATGGTAAGGGACTCTTCTTTTTGAAATAAAACTTGGCTCTTTTGTGATCCCTACAAAATACAGCATACAAAAATAGCAGCTACCAAAGCAAAAAGTTACAAAGACAACTTTTAAAAACACCCGTGAGATGAGAAAAGGAATTTAAAATTCAGTTGAGATACATATATCTATATACACATACACAAAATATTCTTCGGATTACAGGATAGAAAATAAGTACACTTTTTCATAATAAAATATTTAATTTTGCTTAAATATTAATAATTTGACCATAACAAAAAATTAAAAATTGGGGTCACAATGTTCGAGTTTTCCTAACAAGAAGTCAGTAGAATTGCAACGTGATGGACCTGGCAAGCTAGGCAGTACATGCTGCCTCCGTTTCTGATTACTTTTCCTGTGCTACTTAGCAGAACAATGGGCCCTGGTACTGTCAAATTTTGGAACTTTTCACAAAGCTTCTCTTATGCAGGGCAGACCAAGAAGAGAAGGGATGAAATGTCTTTATGCTGGATCTTGGTTCTACATCTGCCTTGATTTCCTGAGAATTAAAAAGAATGAGCCCTTTTAACAAGAGCTAAGATACAATTTCTCTATATTTCTGTCTGGAAAGCAAATGTCCAAAAACTTAACCTTCTACCAAAGTAAGAGGAGCTCTGCAGAATGACAGCCACTGAGATACTGCCCTAGTTTGAGGCCATTCTTTAAATAGAAAGACTGATGCAGGGTGAGGAAGGAACATTAAGACCAGAACAGAAGGAAAAGGAAGGCAGACAGAAAATCAGGCATCCTCTATCACAGATGTTGTGGCCATAGAATCCAGGGTTCTCACCCTTTTATTTACCAGGATTCCCTAGACCAGTGGTCTTCAAACTGGGTGTTTATGTCTGGGGGGCACACAAAGACGTTCCGGGGTATAAACAGAAGTGGACAGCTTTCCCAGATCCTCACCTCCATATGTGCTCTTGCCTGACACTGATCTTTCTGCCTGAGAGCTGCATGCATCTGCCATCTGCAGTTCCATTTCCCACCACCGCTTCATAATCTCCCTCTTCCCTTTTCTTTTACAAAAGAAAGACACCTCTCAATCAGACTAAAACTTACTCCGGTCATCACCCAAGGTACAACAAAATCTCACAGATGGGGGAACCAAAAAAAAAGGGACAATTCAAGAAAGCGTAACTCCCGAGGGAGAATATTTGACAGCAAAGAAGGCAGAGATTAGACATAACAAAGGAGCAGCGCCTTATCTCATATACCTCCACACATTTTCCTTCACCTATCTTAGCATTAAAATTCAGGTGTGAGAGGGATGTCATATGAAATGTATATGTACATATTAACACACTTGAATTGGAAGATAAAGTTAGACTTTTTTCTCACAGAAAATACTTCTAATTCAGCTGGTTAGTTTGCCAATGAAGGCTGACTTTGCCAATCATATGATGAACATTTTCCATAAATTCAATGAGCTAAGTTGGCAGCTCCTAAGTTTTAACAAAACATATGTAAAACATACAATATTCAATATGCCAGAAATTACACCCTTCAAAACTATTCATAAAAACTTATGATAAAAATATTAAACATCAATTTAAAAATATGAGAGGAGGGTACAATATTTTTCTAAATTCTTTTAGTAAAAAAGCTTGAAGATCACTGCTTAGACTTCCCTCTGCTTTAACGCAGAGCTGGGTTTCTGGTAGAAGAGTAAAATGAAAGGGGATGATTCTCAAGTGGTCTGCCCTTATCTCCCTGTACCAACAAATCCCCAGGGGAAAAAGACACTATGTTAAAAGACTGTCCAGCCAATCCTGGGTAAAACTGCTCTTGTTCCTTGCTAATATCCCACCTCCTTTCTGAACATCCTGGAGTTCTTGCTCTGCCCCTCCCCTTACCTAAAATTCCCCACTAACATTCCTCCACTAGACCATCCCTTCCTTCATAATGTCCCATGCTCCAAAGTGGTTTTTGCTCCCACGGTCTCATTCCATCACCCACCCCTCAAATGTAGCTGATCTAAGCTGAAATGCTTTGGGGGCAACTACCTGGCTTTCCCAATCCCCCAGTGTTAGAATACCCCTCTAGGCCCTCAGGAGGGTATCTACACATAAAGGATTTATTTTGGATCCTTAATCTGATGGTGTCTCAAATGTGTGGAATATCTGGTCATTTGGAAAAAGAAGATTACGAGCAGAGGGGTGCTCCCAACACCCTACCTGAGAAGCAGGGACACACAGTCCCTAAAGTCAAGCCCTAAGTGAAGGATCCTGATGCTTCAGAGGAAGCACCCACTCTAGCCCACAGTTCCCTTTGTTCTCCAAACCTAATCCTGGAAACACTCTCCTCATCTTACTAACTCTGCAGGCTTGGCACCCTATCCATAAGTCTTTTCTTTTCCTGGCTTCAAACATCTAACATTGGAAGGACTTACATATCACACATCAAGCACTCTCACACATATCACACACGGGGCACCAAGCACTTATCTGTGTATATGCAACAAGCCCTTAACAGGCAACATCTCATTTAATCCCTCCCAGCAATCCTGTGCAGTAAACTTCCTAAAATCCCACTTGGCAAAACAGGCTCAATTTGCCCAAGGTCACACAGCTATGTGGATTCAAATTCAGGTTTATACATTCATTCAAAAATTAGTTTCAATAAGCAGTAAAGTATTTCAAGGGCCTGTGTTAGATACTAGGTAGGAACGAGGTGGTAGAAAAGGCAGAGCCCTGCTCTCAGAGATCTAATGTTCTAGTGAGGGAGAATTAAATAAGCAGATACAAGGAAGTCAGTATGTCTGTTTTCTCTTCTAGCATGCTCTGGGAAACCTTAACCCAGGGCGCTAACTTCCGTGGGATATAGGGAGGAAGCATGTGTGATGACAAGAACATGACATCACCTCTGAAATCGTGGGCTGTGAATAAAACAGACTTGATTTCAAATCATGGTTCTGTCACTTACTAACTGCGAACCTGAGACAAGCTACTTAATCTAAGCTTCCCTTCCTTAAGACCGTGGGAGTCCTCTTCCCCAGGCCTGCCCCCTATCAGCTTTCAGGTCTCAGCTCAAATAACACCTCCTCAAAAGAGGCTTTCCTAACCATCTAAAGTTTTTTTTCCCTCTCCAATCAATCCCTCCCCCATATTATCTATCACATTTCCCTACAATTTTATATAACAACCCAAAATCCCCTTGTTCATTTATCGAGTTATTTGTTTACTGTTTCTCTCCACAATTGAGGGACTTTGTCTGGTTCAGGGTTATATCCCTAGCAGCTGGGAATGGTCCTGGCCCACAGTAAACCCTCAATAAATATTTGTTAAATAAATGAACAAGTTAACCAGGCCAACTGAATTTTTAACAAATCATTTTGTAAACTTAATCCAAGGTTTACTCGAGTTACAATGGCATTGAATCTTCTCAACTTACCTAATTGATCTGATCTAAGTCCAGCCCATGGGTACTTTCGCCCCACAGAGGAATTACAGGATTCTGACAAATAAGACTTTTTCCACAGAAAGTTTCTCTGGTATTCACTCAGCCCCTGTAATGAAAAGTACACTTTGAGTATAATGCAATTAATGAATGTTGTTTTAAAGCAGACATTTTTAAAGAGAGTTGAAAATCTTAAGATTGATAATTAAACACACACAAGCTCCTTAATAAGAGGTCATGTTTACCCAGCCCTGTGCTAAGCAGTTCATACGTGTTATATCCTTTAATCCTCACTACCACTGCAGGCAGATGCTAGCAGGAATCCCAGGCTCAGAGAGGTTACACTTTCGCTGGGTGTCTGAGTCCGAAGCATAAGCTCTTGTCTGATAACCAGTGAGAATCTCAATTCTCATCACTACAGATTTATCCCAAGTTCTCACCAAGTATGCAATATTATGTATTATGCCTAGTACCTTTTGATATTTTGGTAAAGTTAACCAAAGAAAGAAAAACTCCGCTCCCATTCTGGATACAAGCCTTTAAGTTAAAAGAGTAAGAATCAGCTGTGGTCACCCGTTATGCTGCAGGGTGCCACCTGACAACTACCAGTTCAGTTACCTGGAACTTTTAACAAACTCTAAAACAAATGCACAACTATGAAAAAGGTGTTTTTCTTACACCCTGTCTTTGCTGAGAACCCCATTTCTCAAGCCTTTAAAAGACACATACGCTTTAAAGTTATAAAGGGAAGGGGGGTTCAGTGCTAACTAAATGGGCCACAGGTGTCCCAATCTGAAGTCGCTTTTAGTTCCCATTATAAGCGCCCTTCTCCCAACTCCACTCCTCAGAGTCCCCCAAAATAAACCTATCTCCACGCTGTCTAACGCTCTGACACACGGAAACTCGGAAATGAGTCTGAACGGAGAGGAAGGAATGTCCTCTGCGGCCGCGTCGGGGGTCCCAGGCAGGGTCGGGGGCTGACAGCTCCCGCGGGGCCGAGGGGTACGGCGCAGAAAGCCAGAGAGGCCCGCGCACGCCCCGCCGCGACTCCCCCCGCCGCCTTTGGGCCCGGGGCCTCACCTTGAAGCGCACCGGCATGTCGCCAGGCGCTGAAGCCCCCGCCACTCCGACAGTTAACGGGACAGAAAGCCCCGAAGGGGCGGGGCGACAACTGTCTGTTCCCTGGCAAAAGCCTCGGCCCGGCGTCCCCAACTACGCGCCGGCGCACTCCGCTCTTCCCTCCTTGAACCCCGTCGCTCTGCCTTTCCCCGCCCATTTTGAGCCTATGGACCAATCGAGGCTCTCAAAGTCCCTTACCGTCATTACAATTCGACCAATCAGTGCCCCAAAGGAGGCCGCCCACCTCCCGTGCCAAATCCAGAGGGCTGAGAGAGATGGCGGGCGGAAGATCAGCCAATGAGGCTCCCGGAACCGGGGTGGGCGGGGGCCCGCGGGAGCTTCGTCCTGTGAGCGATCGATGGGTCCCCGCGTCGCCGGCTCCTGCGCAACAATGGGTCTGCGTGCTGGCCGATTCGCCCGCAGCGGGCCTCGCTGGGCCCAGGCTCCTGACATCATGAAACGCGAACGTGTGTTCTTCATTCCAAAATGTATGACAGAACCGAATGTTTTCTGTATTCACGTCTACTGTGCTGAATATCAGCTCCTACAACCGACAGCCACATTGCACTATTTATTGTCATATCAAAAGGGATAGGCCAAAACATAAATATAGCTTTGGCAGGTTTAAAAAAAAGTTATCGATTCTCGAAAGACAAACTGCTATCTTCCTCCAGTGATGTTCTTCCTCCCTCAATCTCCAGCCTCCCCCCAAAAAGATGTACATACAGCGCTTAGATTAGAAAACATTTATTCAAGATGCTCGGGAGTCTCAACTTCCAAACCTTCAGCCTTGTCTCTCCTCTCAGCCTTTTTTAAAAATAAAATTCGATCTGATTTTGGTAGACTATTGCCATCATCATCAATAAATATTTCTTGCAGAACACAGTGCTGATTCTGAGAATTGGGAAAGAAAGAAATTGTCCAGATAGTTCTCTGATATACTTAGAAAGGATGTGCATATGTTAAATATTTATTCAATAATGGTATAACGTAACGTACTAAATTTCCAAATGAGAGGTGCAAATAATAAGGGAGAAGAGTGTAAATAATAATTGGGGGCAGGGATGATTAGAAAAAGTCTCAGGAGGAAATATTCAGACTCAGCCTTAAAGACAGAAGGACCACAATAAGTAAGGAGGAAAATGGGATGATCAAAGGGCAGATGTCTGAATGGAATGCTGCCAGACTTCTTCCAGGAACAATGAATATAGTGCTTTTTACTTTTCTCTTTTGTTGACTCAATAAAAGTATACCTCTTTTAAACTTTCAAATATTAACACCAGTCCTTGATGCACCTCCTTTAAGCATCTTCTGCAAAGGCTTGTCTTCCTGAATCCTGATTGATGTCTCTGTTCTTCTTCATCATCACTAAGATACTTAAAAATTCATTTGAAGAAGCCACCTGATTATCTGAAACAAAGAGAATATTAAATTAGTCCCTATGCAGCCATGCATCCAGAGGACCCTTGATTAATGTTAATTGGTGACGGCTGCATCTCTGTTGTGTAAATTAAGATGGCACAAACAAGATACAGTGGAACCAAAAACAAAAGTCGTGTGCAGGAAGGTAGCCCATCTTACGTGGTAGGAAAGACACAATTCTGGTTGTATACATAGCTTTGTTATCACATAACAAAAGTGGCGAGGTGAAATCAGCAAAAGCAAGCATATAGGATGTAGCCTGTCTGCTAAACAAGGGCAATGATAACTACAGTAGAACTCTGCTGAACAGGGAGTAAATGACAGGAAAACCAAACAGCAGATGGTAAAAATAACTTAGGTACATCCTAGGTTTGCTAGAGATCTATTATACGGACTCAAGGAAGAATAATATTGTATGTAGCAATTGTTAAACAAAAGCCTATCCCAGTTTATGAGGCAAAGATGTAGAAATGAAAAAAAGTGACCACCTCAGTAAATGAGTTGTACAGCCTGTGTTTTACCAGCTCTCACCTTTTCTGCTACTGCAGGAAACAGACCCAGTACCCTACAAAGTTCCACCCAAGTGTTTTGGGGAATCCCCAGGAGGTGACTGACAAATACTTACAGCTGTCACATATGGTGTGCCCAGCAGCACTGCTGCTTGTTCCAACAGTCAGGCATCTGTAGGCGTCACTCCTGCTGCTGGCCAGCACAGCGACTTTAGCCTGGTACTGAGTCTCCACTGGGCACAGGTAATCGGCACAGCTACTCTTCACACTGCCCAACCCTGGTGGTAATCCATGGCAAAGCACTTCTCTCCCCTTTTTGTATTACTCTCTTGTGAGTTTTAAAGTGTCTTAGAGAGCTTTCTTTTCACTTGTATTTTAGCTTCCTTATCTCCAAAGGGCTCAAAATGAAGTTAATGGCGTCTCTAGGCCAGAAAGTAATTCCTCAAGTAATAGATCTCATGCTGTGCTTCTCTCTTCTGCTTGCTAAGGCCTCTTCCAGGAACAAGGTTATCACACCAGCTCCTTCTTCCCTTTGTTGATTTCTCTGTTTTTCATACAAATAGATTTCTGTCTATTGCCTGTGAGAGACTGAATTTGCCCAACCTCTATGAAGGGCAATTTGGCAATCCTTTTGACCCAGCAATTCCTCTTCTATAAATTTATCTTACAGATAGACTCACACATATGTGACAAAAATATCCGTTTAATTTTGCATTGTTTCTAATAACAAAAGGTTGGAAACAACCTAATCACCCACCAACAGGGGACTAGTTAAATACATAATGGTTCATCTAAGGCCCAGAGCAAGAACAGACTCTGCAGTCCAGATGGCGGTGCACGCTACTGTACCCTTTCGGGCCCTCTGACCCCGCACAGATAGGTTAGGGTTCGGCCAGGAAAACAGAAACTACACTAGGCATTTCAACAAAGAGAACGCAATATAAGCTATTAGTTAGTTATTGAAGAACTTTAAAAAGCCACAGGAGAAAGAGAATAGTAACTCCAGGAAGCAGCTCACACTCTAATGCTGAGAGAACAAAGGGGAAACATTGAGATGACTAGAATGCAGAAGTTTGCAGCAGAGGCCTCATGGAGCTGGTCAAACCCCTGAGAAAGGGTCACTGCCCAGCTGGTGTGGGTGCCTCTGAAGGGACAAAATGAGGCTGCCTCTGGGAAAACCCAAAAAAGAGAACTGGAGACTGCAACCAACTGCCACTGGGGAGTAAAAAGTCACTGCGGAGAGAAACAGTGAGCCAAAGAGAGTATTCTAGTCTCTCTCGAGTGTCCTCTCTTGGCAAACCGGCCATGTGGTTTGCAGAGTAGTCTGAAGGGTGAGGCTTATTAATTTGCACACACCCATACAACCCTGAAAAAGAAAGAGGCGCCTCTTTATGAGCTAACACAGAAGACTTTCAAAGAAAAAAGCAAAGCATAGAAGAGTGTGTATAGTATACCATCAGTTGAGAGAAAAAGAAAAAGAAAGAAAAGAAAGAAAAAAATGCCATATGATGTCATACAATGGCATCATTCCCAGGCACTTTCTCCCTCACTCATGAGTCTGGCTCTGTTAGCAGCAGCTGTAAAGATGAAGAGCATTTTATTCAGCTTACTGAGAAGATACGGAAACTTTAAGGTATTGATAGTTAGTTACCATTAGGGCTATTCTTTCTACATAAAATAATTCCTTCCATTGGCCCTTTCTAAATTTATCTTGATTTATATACATCACAGTAAGGTTGCTGCTTTTTTTAGAGACAAAAACATATCAAAATCTTTTTTTTCTTTTCTTTTCTTTTTTGAGACAGAATCTCACTCTGTTGCCTGGGCTAGAGTGCCGTGGTGTCATCCTAGCTCACAGCAACCTCAAACTCATGGGCTCAAGCAATCCTCCTGCCTCAGCCTCCCGAGTAGCTGGGACTACAGGCATGCGCCACCATACCCAGCTAATTTTTTCTATATATTTTTATCTGTCCAATTAATTTCTTTCTAATTTTAGTAGAGACAGGGTCTCGCTCTTGCTCAGGCTGGTTTCGAACTCCTGAGCTCAAACAATCCGCCCGCCTCGGCCTCCCAGAGTGCTAGGATTACAGGCGTGAGCCACCACGCCTGGCCTCAAAATCTTTTAAAGCAACTTTCTTTTGCAGTTGAAATATAAATATATTCATATACTGCTCATTCTATTAAAAATAGGAAGTCAATTGCTTCACAAATTTAACAGTCATCATTTTCTCAGTAGCAGTTGAAACATTGGAGAATTTGTATTGGCCTCTAACTGTATTTATTTTTATTTAACAACAAAATATTACATACAAGCAAAACACCATCAGATGAAGGTTGAAAAAGGGAAGTACAAAGATGAGTAAGATGTGGCCACTGCCTTTAAATACGATTACAATCTGATGGAGGCACAGACACATACACAAAGAACATAGGAAGCGAAAAGAAAGGAAAAAAGGAGAAGGGGATAACTGAGCACCTTGCTATTCTAAAGATGCTTTTAAATCTGGTGCCAGAAAGTTTGATCCAAGACAAGGGGGTTAAAGAGCAGGTAGGATAAAGGAGACACTTTTAAATTCCATTCTGGGAAACACCTGATCTAGAGGCCTTTCACTTTTTTTTTGTTCTACTCTAGGTAGCTGAATTCGGACCAGACGTTCCTCAAGAAGATTTAACTAACATTTGCTTGGGATCGGTTCCCAAAAAGGTAAATTACCTGCTGTCTGTTGTCTCTGTTTTTTTCCTTGTTGCGTCAGAAATCAGAGTAAAGCTGTTTTAGAAACTACCGTTTTATCAACAGAGTGATACAACAGCCTTGTGTTTGCATATATGTATAATAATTTTCTCTGAAATACCTGACAAGGTAACTGAAATTCCAGCCTCCAGGCTGAGTAATGCTCTTTAGCTCTGTAACTTTCTCTTGGGTCACACTTAATTGGGCTTTCATTGGTAAATCTTGAGCTCAGCCTTTGCCAAAAAGCAATCAGTCTGACAACTGCTTTCTTTTGCATTTTTTTCCGTAAATATTAACTGATTTTTCCCCATATGAATGAATCTGTGATTGCACAACTGAAAAAAATGACAAACTTAAATCTATAGATTCTGTCTCAGAAGCAAAAATGCTGATATTTCACGTTAATGTCAGTAAGAATTGACTAAATAG